TCCGATCTCCCCAAAACCCCAAAACCCCATAACATATGAATAAGTCCAATCGCATTGTAATTCATTTAGTTAGAAATATAATTTACAATCATACAAATTCCAAGCAATTTTTTAATTATGCATTTCACAAGTTAACTTTCTATTCATAAACTATCAAAATGATTTCTATTCTTCTTTCTAACATATGAGTAGTCCTTAAGTAATTAATTATGCAGGAATCCTTTCAGCTCGAAGTATGATCTCGCACAATTATGAACACAGACAGTATCTTTTTCACTAAGGAGCCAATTATTCTTATCCTTTTCATCTATTTCTAAGTAATCTAATATGCCCTGAGTTTTAGGTGAAACAATGATCTTTGTAGTATTTGAATCTATTCCCTATTCTTACTCAATGAATTGTCTTGGCTTTGTTCCAGCAATACATCTCTTGAAGCATTTATTAGTTAGACTTAGTATGGACATAGCATCAACAAGAGGTTTGTTGTTGCTTTACTCTTAAAATGGACCTTTGGGTTGTCCTTAATTTGACATTAATTTATTAATTAATCAAAAAATGTGACTATTATTATAATTAATAAGTTCAAGAGATTAGAACATAAATTATGCAAGACCCCAAAGCAAGAAAGCCTCGTGTGGCTATTATTCATCCAGACCTTGGAATTGGTGGTGCTGAACAACTTATAATTAATGTTGGGCTCGCACTAAAGTATAAAGGCTATGATGTTTAGGTTTTTACTCCCTTTTTCGACCCTAATCGATGCCTTGATGAAGCAAAGTTACTGGATGTACACGTACATGGTTCATGGTTTCCAATGAACATCAATGGAAAAGCAGTAGCACTATGCGCTTACATTAGACAACTACTATGTACTATATGGGTACTCCTATTAGGTGGGCATTTCGACTATTATATCTTGGATCAAGTATCGTTCCCCATACCTCTAGTTAGACTAAAGAGCAGAAATGTGCTTTTCTATTGTCATTATCCCGATAAGCTCCTTTCAACTGAACGTTCCACTGTGTCTAAAAAGATATATAGATTTTTCTTGGACCTCTTTGAAGAGATAACTACAGCTTGTGCAAGATGCATTGTAGTCAACAGTGGATTTACTCAGAAAGTGTTTTATGACAACTTCCCAATCATTAGAAAGTTCGTCAAATCTCATAGACCAGAGATATTATACCCAGCTATTGAAGAAAAGACTTTTGTTCAAAGTGCAAATTATAAAGAAACAATTGACCAATTATTAGGCAAAAATATTACTAAGGACACTGTCATTTTGACTTCACTTAATAGATACGAAAGGAAGAAGGATATCCCACTAGCATTACTTAGTTTCAACTATTACCTAGAGAATTAAATCAAGCAATTCGGACAAGACTCAGTGAAGGATGTGTATCTAGTAATTGCTGGCGGATATGACACAAGACTTTCAGAGAATGTCTAAGTTCATGAAGAACTGGTTGATCAGGCAAAGAAACTAGGCATTGAAGACAAGGTAGTATTTTTAAGATCAATCTCAGGCGACTAAAGAATCAACTTACTCAAAAACACTAAGATATTGCTATACACCCCTTAAAATGAACACTTTGGAATTGTGCCTGTTGAAGCTATGCATATGGGTTGTGTTGTAATTGCTTGCAATAGTGGAGGACCACTAGAAAGTGTTGAAGATGGTAAAACTGGCTATCTGGTATCACCTAAGTTCTAAGAGTGGGGCAACAGAATAATCCTGATATTAGGATCCTCTAAAGAGAAGTAGGATGAGATGAGAAAGAACGCTTAGGAGAGAGTGAGAATAATGTTCACAAAGGAAGTATTTGCAGAACAGTTGGAAAATATCTTAAAGAGAATGTGAATTAACATATTTAGGAAATAAGATAGTGATGAATAATATTTGCAATGAGATTATTTAGATTGAAAAGATTTTAAATTTATATTCTTTTTTATGTTTAAATTAATGAAAAGGAGTCATAATCGAACTAAACAGCGATATATGTTCAGTGATGACCTCCTTCAGCAGGGGCTGATGCTGGAGCAGCAACGCTCTTTGCTCTTTGCTATTTAAGATGTTCTTCTTAGGCTCTTGACTTTCCATTTAAGTCAAGTTGATAGTACTATTGTTCTTTAGTATCATAAGCTCCTAAAGTACCTCCGAAGATATCTCTGTATTCTTGCTCTGGGAAGTTGACGTTATCGTATCTATGGTTGTGTGGATACTTAACTGGATCGTATCTATCGTCTTGCCAGTAGGAGTCAGATCTGAGACCCTTTCCATGTTCCCAGGTTTTAAGCTTAAGATCAGTGACTGATCTTCCCTTATTGTAATCACCAACTGACATAGCTCTCTTATAAGTATCATTATCAATGACCTCGGCTCTTAAATGCCACTTCTTCTTCTCTCTAAGTCCCTCAAGAACGTGCTCTGGGCAGACTTCCATAATGCTGAACTTATCATTCAAGCAGGCTTCTTTACCATTTTTGGATGAGCAAAGTTGATACTTTCTAATTTCTTTATAACAACCTCTTGGAATGAAATTGGGAGTAAGAGTCATGTATTTTGACTGTTTTCCAATGGGCTCGCAGAAACCACCATTCTTGTGACCAAGAGTCTTGGCTTTTCTGTCTGGGTACCAGTCGTCATGAGCTTGATAGTATCTGTGATACTTGTTGAAAGAGTAATCCAAGTTACCGTAGACCCATGAGAATTGAGGAACGTGACCCAAGAAATATGGCATTTGAGAGTACTCGTTGGGCTTGTAGTCGTATCTAGCTCTAATTGGGTTCAACATGGTCTTATAGAGGTCGCTGTGAACCACCTTGTTTCCAAGGTTGTAGTGACCCTTCTACCAATAATATTCAGGGAAGTTAGATGAGTAGAAGTTAATCGCTGTCATATTTAATAATTATTAAATTATATCCTTTGCAATAATTAAGCAAATTAATTTTAATTTGAAATAAGTAATGGAGCTACCACCCCTAAACATCGAAGACTTCACTAAGTGGAAACAAGGCCAAGCCATCATTAAGGAGACCGATATGGGCGATGACATCAAGGGAGAGGCTAAGGACTTTGTCATCTCAGGTATTGAAAAGGCATCAGGTCAATTCGGTATCAATATTGAGCACGCTTGCAAGTACGTCAAAGATCAAATGGATAGACAGTTCGGTCCCTCATGGCACTGTGTTATGGGTGAAGGGTTTTCATTCGAAGTCACCAGATAGGCAAAGACAACGCTATATATGTACTATGCTGGAAAAATTGCAGTGCTCTTGTTTAAATGTTGAGCTATATATTCAAAATTATATTACTTATTCTTATTCTTTCTTTCAGTTTCAATTCACTAAGCGGGGTTTTGGGGTTTTGGGGAGTTTATGATGGC